ACAGAGTCAGACAAATAGCGCGTAGCAAAGTAGCCAGTGCGATCAAGCGTTTTGCCCAGTTCTGCCTAACGAGCGGTTTCTGTTAAGAATACCTACTGCTTCCTGTTAAGGGTAGTTGATGTTAAATATCGTTTAATATGCGCAAAAGAAAGATATGAAATTCCATGTACCTCGTGATTGAAGCGTAAAAGCTAGATATTTAAATTTTTAGCTTCGCAGTTGAACTCAAAATTTTCTCCGGCATTTTTAGCTCTCTGTTTTGTTTAGTTCTTAAACTAATAATTCCCTGTGCTAGATTTCACTTGTTTGCATGTGAGGCATAAGCATGACCGAAAGCTGAATTTGAAATTCTATGGTTGTACGTTCAGAGGAAGCACTACTGTGAATTTTCAGCTTTCTACCTTGTCAGTGAGGCGAAAAATCTCGCCCAAAAATTCCCACTTTCCCGTACATGATGTCTAGGTGTAAGTGAGGGCTGAATTTAAATTTTTGAGATCGGACGCGGGCCTGATTTTAGCGCTTAAAACTTCACGCATCCGTGCGTAAGATCGAAGCATACACGAAGTTTGAACTGGAATTTGCAGGGCCGCACCTGGGTGGGGAACACTGCCTTAAAACTCCAGCTTCTAGTTTTTGCGATTCCGAGTTATCAATTTTGGCGAGAAAATTTTCATCTGGCCGCAGTTAAATTCCAGGCATACTCGGAGCTGAATTTAAGTTCACACGCGGGCAGGGGGCACCTCTTCCAAATGTCAGCTGGTTCCTGAGTTATTAACCTTGACGTCAAAACTTTGGCGTGACCGTACGTAAGACTTAGGCGTACATATGTGAAGGCTAGGATCAAATCTGTAGTGTCACGCGTGGGTGGGGAACATTCCCCTAAATTTTCAGCTCCCTAGCTTTTGCGGTTCTTGAGTTGAAAAGTGCGGTCAAAATGCACCCCAGGTACACACACACGCACAGCTAAACCTGGGTGCGGCAATATGCGATTTGTGCAGCTCTTGAACAACACAAAACGCGTAAAAAGAGGACATTTCATACTAATTTTGGTTCATCTTTATTTTGATATTAGTTTAGTCACAACAGTAAATTTCAGGGCCACGTTCGTTCACAGGACATCGTTTACTTGTTCTATGGTGCCTGTGTGAACAAAACCGGACAAGATTTCATCTGGGAATATTTCAAAG